ATTAAAACATATTGCACATATCTGTACCAAGAAAATTAATTCCTTATAAAGAAAAAAATATGGGTTTTAATTTAAAATTAGAAAGTTGAATAAGTACGCGAAATCTACATACTTTTATTCCAATATCAGAAAATAAGATAAAATAAACCGAAGAATTTGTTTTTTATTATTGAAATTTTTTGAAAAATAAGTTATTGGAAATTATGTGTTTTCTTTAGAACAGTTTATTAGTGACGGTAATTTGTAATTTTTCGCTACTTTAGGGGATTATGCATTATGCAGCGCTCTCAAGAAAAAAAAATTTTTCAGCCATTTTTAAAACATCCGTCTTGAAACCTATGTGAAGACATAGTAAAAATATGAGAGTTTTTACATAAATTTTTTGAGATTTTTAAAAACCTACATAATTGTTTATTTTTTTGTTTAAACTCTTTTTAAATTATTTGTTAATAACAAATTTTTAATTTACATGTATTATCACGTCCGTAATGCACCTACTTATATCTATTATTAAAAAAAAATGTTTCAATGTCGATTTGTTCTTTAGATAAAAATTCTTTTTGCTAAGGTACTTAATTTTGTACATCCTTGTTATTTTTCAACATACATTGAGAAAATAAAAAACGGTGAAATACGTGTCACTTATTTTTACACGTTCTATAACATATCTCAAATTTACGAAAATCAAAAACAATGAGTTTTAAAAGTAATCGTTTTGACATGGAATTACTCTACAGGTGCGCCAGAACTCGCTCCCCAGAGAAAAATGCCATATAAAGTAAGATACCAGAAACATGGAAAAAATGTTAAAAAAAATTTATCTATAAAAGTTTCGAAGTTATAAGAGTTTAAATTTTGTATCCTAAATTGTAACTCTGTTTAATCTTATTTGTGGCTTTTATTGGCAAAATTTTTGTACCTTTACTTAATAATTATAAAGAAACATATACAAGATCATTAGTATCATTAAATAGACATAAAAAAATGACAAATGTCAAAAAATAAATGTCAAATTTTTTAAACATTTTTTCCATATTCCTGGTATCTTATCTTACTTAAAAAAATTCTCTGGGGCACGAGTTCTGGGCGCACCCTGTATAGTCCAAAATATACTATTACGACTTTTAGAAAAATTCTAAAATTGTCAGCTTGTGCCAAATGAAAAGCCATTTAATTATTTTTTTTTAATTTCAGAAATCTGTACTAGGATTTCGATTTCGGGTTTACATGTTGCACTTTGACTTTATTTATTCCCGTAGGAAAAATAAATTTACGTGTTTTTTTTGCTGCAGGTTTTTAGAAGAGAAAACCAAAGAAGCTGTTTAACATTATTTGTGGCGTTTATTGGCAAAGTTTTATGGAAAAACATATACCGGGTAGGGCATCGGTTACGCGCACTCGATAAATCGCGACTTCAAATTAATTAAAACTGGCGATATTTTATATACCTAACTAATTATTGATAGAGTATAATTTGAGAATTTTTCTAATTTTTTTGGATAATAAATGAGTCCGTAACAGTTTTGTGTGTTTTTATAAATACTTTCTGTTAATTTACCTATAAAGTTTTTACATTAAATGAATCTGTACCTGTCAGCACATCAAACTTTGATATCAAAATTTCAAATTTTGACAATTTAGCCAAATAATCGCTTTTTTTATTTAAACACAAACCAGACCTGTGATTTATGACAAAATGGTATAATTTGCCAACAAAAGAATCATTTACTGGTAGCCGACCGCTTTAAAGGGTCTTTTTGTTGTAAACCTTGGAATCTTACCCCAATTGCAGTTCCCCATTGTCACCTAAATTTACGATGGTCATAAATAAAAATGATTTTCAAAGTTAAAATGAAAAATTGCGTTTAATTCAAAATCTAATTGGTATTTTTTTTCTGATTTTGTAAACAATTGTAGGAAGTGAATCTGCGTAGGTCAGTATAAAAATTAGAATTAAATTTTTTGGGAGAAAATTACTTTTTTTTTTTGGCTTTGTTTGTGAATGAAAAATTACCAAAAAAATAGAGAATGTACCTTACTAATGCCCAGGTAAGTGTGAAAAAATTCAACAGTTTTATTTAAATAGAAGTGTGGATTTTCTTTTTGGCGTAACGGATGCCCCACCCGGTAACAATAAATAGACCATCTTACTTGTCATTTTTCCCTGAAAAACCCTGTATATTTACTGCTTCAAACATATCTTATATTCATAGCAGTAGTAGAAAAACTTGTTTCTATTTCTAGTTGTTTGAGGTAGCTTTTGTATGTTGTTATAATAATTTTGTTGTTGGTTTAGGTTCACGCAATCCCTTTGCGATCCTCATGGGTGATGACATGCGCATATGCCCCATCGGGCAGTTACGTAGCTTGCGGAGGCCTCGACAACATCTGCTCCATATACAGCCTAAAAACTCGCGAAGGCAACGTACGAGTGAGCAGAGAACTGCCCGGTCACACCGGGTATTTGTCGTGCTGTCGTTTCCTTGATGATAACCAGATAGTGACCAGTTCGGGCGATATGAGTTGCGCCCTATGGGACATCGAGACCGGCCAACAGGTCACCTCGTTTCTCGGCCATACCGGCGATGTGATGTCCCTATCGCTGTCACCAGATATGCGCACCTTTGTTTCGGGAGCGTGCGATGCATCGGCGAAATTATGGGATATACGAGAGGGATTATGCAAGCAAACGTTCCCAGGACACGAGTCGGACATTAATGCCGTCACGTTCTTTCCTAATGGTTTTGCGTTTGCGACGGGTAGTGACGACGCCACATGTAGACTCTTCGATATCAGGGCCGATCAGGAACTAGCCATGTATAGTCATGATAACATTATATGCGGAATCACCAGTGTCGCATTCAGTAAATCTGGAAGATTACTGCTTGCAGGATACGACGATTTCAATTGTAATGTTTGGGATTCGATGAAGACAGAAAGAGCAGGTAATTACTACTATATTTAAGGCTATTGCAAGGGGACGTAGCACGAAGCAATTGCTAAAAATTAAGATTATACGGTTGAAAATACTATAAATAAAAATTATTTAGAATCATGAAATATACCTTATGGGTACCGAACTAAAAAAAATTGCACCCCAGACTTGAACCCGCGGCAACTATGATTTATTTATTTCGTGTGTAATCCGTTAGATTTGCTACTTGGATTTCCAACACCGTAAGGATGTTTTCCAAATAAGTTGGATAAGGAAAGTCGTGTGATATTCAAACCAGATTTTTTTAACGGAAATCACCAAGTCAAAATTTTGAAAAAATCGATAGCAGCTTATTTCTATAGCCACAAATTCTGTTTGCTTTTTGTTATTGTCCCTAGAAATTTTGTTAAGAGCCCTATTTACTAAAATAAGGGGACGTAGCACGAAGCAGTTGGTAAAAATCGGTCGCAAAGACCAAAAATTAAGATTATACGGTTGAAGATACTATAAATAAAAATTATTTAGAATCATGAAATATACCTTATGGGTACCGAACTAAAAAAAAATTGCACCCCAGACTTGAACCCGCGGCAACTATGATCTATTTCGTGTGTAATCCGTTAGATTTGCTACTTGGATTTCCAACACCGTAAGGATGTTTTCCAAATAAGTTGGATAAGGAAAGTCGTGTGATATTCAAACCAGATTTTTTTAACGGAAATCACCAAGTCAAAATTTTGAAAAAATCGATAGCAGCTTATTCTCTATAGCCACAAATTCTGTTTGCTTTTTGTTATTGTCCCTAGAAATTTGGTTGAGAGCCCTATTTACTAAAATAATTATAAAAAAAAAATAATTGGAAAAAAACTACTTACCGATTGTCCATTTACCATATGGTAAAGTAGTAGTAGTAACACCAAAAATCTCACATAAAGTGATCAGAAAAGCGTAACCAGAAAACTTTAGTTGAATTTGAATAAAATCACTTTTTATATTTTTTTTTATTTATGGGGAATTCATATAATATACCATAAATTTTGAGAAAATAAGTGTTTCAATATTAAGATGCTAATTAAAGATAAACCACGTAAGTGTTTTTTTAGAAAATTTAATTAGACATAAGTTAATTACCTTATAAGTGAAAAAACCAGCAGTTCAAATTCGCGTTCAAATAAACAATTTAAAAATTAAAATTAGAAAGAGGTATTTTGAGGGGTGCGAATAAAATTTGACTTATAGTAAAATCGTTTTCCTAAGACCTACTAAAAATTTTATGACACATTATAAGGGATTAACCAAACAATGGCTTGAATTTGTAACCCTCCATAAATGGCACGTTCCTTTGCAAGTGTTGCTGTACCCACTGGAATGAAACAGGGCCGTATTTAAAACCAAAGTAGTGGTAGAGTGGTGGTAGAGTTTTACCAAGCTATTATTAAAAAAAAATACTTGACTTTAATAACAACTACGTCAAAAACTATAAAAATATTTCAAGTATTTTAGACAAAAAGAAAGTAAGTAATCCGGCCCTGTTAAAAATGGACCTGTTTCCTTGGTTTGTTTACCCTCTGGTTTACTCTTAACAATACCGCATTTCACTTAAAAGTAATAAAATTTTTAGTAAGTTTTGGGAAAACGATTTTTCTATCAATAAATTCAGGGGGGTAAAAATTATTTAGAATCATGAAATATACCTTATTAAACCGTAAAATCTGATAAAATAAAAATAATAGTGGGTACCGAACTAAAAAAATTGCACCCCAGACTCGAACCCGCGGCAACTATGATCTATTTCGTGTGTAAACCGTTAGATTTGCTACTCGGATTTCCAACACCGTAAGGATGTTTTCCAAATAAGTTGGATAAGGAAAGTCGTGTGATGTTCACACCCGATTTTTTTTTAACGAAAATCACCATGTCAAAATTTTGGTGAAAAAAATTGATACAAGCTTATTCTCTATAGCCACAAATTCTGTTTGCTTTTTGTTATTGTCCCTAGAAATTTTGTTAAGAGCCCTATTTGCTGTAATAATTATTAAAAAAAATTAATTGGAAAAAAAAAACACTGCACTTACCGATTATCTATTTATCATATGGAATGTTTTGTGCCACAAAACTTGAAGTAACACCAAAAATCTCACTGCTTGTTTTTCACATAAAGTGATCAGAAAAGCGTAATCAGAAAACTTTAGTTGAATTTGAATAAAATCACTTTTTTTTATTTTTTTTATTTATGGGGAATTCATATAATATACCATAAATTTTGAGAAAAAAAAAAGTGTTTGCTAATTAAAGATAAACCACGTAAGTATTTTTTAGAAAATCTAATTAGCCATAAGTTATAAGTGAAAAAATCAGCAGTTCAAACTCGATTTCAAATAACCAATTTAAAAATTAGAATTAGAATTAGAAATTTTGAGGGGTGCGAATAAAATTTGACTTACCTTGTACATGCAGGATGTCCGGAAAGTCGCGCACCTTACAACAAGAAAAATTTAAAAAAAAGATCTATAAAAATTTCGAAGTTATGAGACTTTGACTATTTACTACTCTATCGGGAATTTTTGATTTAAAAAGTTCACGTAGAAGATATCTTAATCTTAATTCTTGTCTGGTATATTGGTACAACCATACTCTCTTACCAAGCCAAATTTTACTGCTATAAGTCAAGTGGTTTGTTTAAAATTGTTTTTATCATAACTTGTGGTTAAGTCAGACTTGCAATTTTTGTCATGAATTCCACTACAGATCAAAGAATTTGCTTGAAATTTTGTGTTGTCAACGAAAATTCGTGTAGTGAATCTCTGAAAATTTTGCAAAAGACCTTTGAGGACTCATGTATGTCAAAAATACAAGCATATGAGTGGTACAAAGCATTTCAATTGGACCAAAAAGAAGTAAATCGACGATTTTCTGTATTTTTTGACGACATTCTTCGTTCTGAACGATCGACAACAGCAAAAACAGAGGAAAATGTAAAGAAAATCAAAGAAATGATGACTGTAGATTGTCACTTAAGTTTAAGAGTAATATTATGTAGCTGTTGTGAGATGTTTGTAAAAAATAGTCGCTGAAAAAGGCCAGATTTGTGGGATTTTGCACCATGACAGTGCGCTTGCACACACAGCGACAATCCTGCACAAATTTTTGGATAAAAACTCAACAAATGTCATTAATCAAGCACCGTATTTAGCTAACATGGCCCTATTTGACGTTTTCACATTTCGTAAAATTAAATTGCCTCGCGAGCAAGGCGTTTTGAGTCCATAAAAGACATAAAACAAAATTTGCAAAAAGAACTGAAAAATTGATCAATAATATTATTTAAAATTTCCCGGTACTTTTTGTATTTTTGTTGGAAAAATAATTTTCCAAGGTATTAAATAAATAATTTTTAAAGGCTTTTCTTACTTCGCTACTATCAGTTGTTATTTTTTCCTACTATTAATTATTACCGTTTTTGTTTTTTTTTCTTCCTTTTATTTTTATTTAACACCAATCCAAATCAAACGTATAAGTATAAGCCTTATTTATTACACTGATAAATTATATTATGTTAATTATATTATTATGTTACTACAAAAAGCAAGATGTATCTGTGAAAACGTAAAAAAAGGTTTTCAAATAAATTTTTGCAAAATTAATAATAATATGTATAAAACTCAGTATTATTGTAGGTTTGACAACTTAATACAGGGTGAATAAAAAGTATGGAACCAAGCGTTTTTTTCGTAAACTAAGCACTTTACGAAAAAAATAATTAGTGTAGCGTAAAGTACAATTAAAATGTGACCTTTTATCAAGAATTACATTTTTCGAAATTTCTTTTAGTTTTCGAGTTCTGCAATTTTTATTTTTTTTTTAATGGCAACCCACCATGGTAATTTTTTTAATTAAAGATTTTGATCTAAAAATTACCTCTAATTAAACAGAATTGTTTTTTGGTGTACTTTTTTTTTAAATAAATTGTTAAAGTTGCGTTCCGAGCCCACGAAGATTTTCCTAACTTGAACGAGGGGGTCGAAAAAATTTTTTTTTTTGACAAATCAACAATTACTTTGATTTAAATTTAATAATCTAAATTTTTCAAACGTAACAAAAGCCAAATTGTCTATGAGAATGTATTTTGGGTTGCGTCTAAAAATTGGTCAGGGTCTTTATTATATATTATTCAATCTGTATTGTTATAAACTTAACCAAAGTATTTGGGGATTGGTGTTTCTAAAGCGATTATTATGAAAAAATAAAAGAATTTTGTAACTTATGAAACTAAAGAAACATCAGAAACAAATATTTCGAAAAAATTAAATGTAAATTTTTCGTAATTGTCTAAAAACTGATTTTACTTAGTCCTCTTCAGTTTTTCTTTTAAGACAATTACTTGGCCTAGTACTAATATGATTATAATGTTTTTAAGTACTATTAATTGTAGTTGGCTTGCATGATGTATGAATTTTTATCAATTTTCTGATTGGCTGTTTCACGTTTCAACCTTTTAAAGAAGTGAGATAGAGATGTAAACTATTGTTGTCAAAAAAATCTTCTTTCTTATCAAACAATTGATTGTTTTGCAAATATGTTTCTATTTTACGTCACAACTTGTCATTGCCTACTTTTCCAGACCGGATTTTTAAGTAATGAGTAGGTTCTAATTATGCGTATAAGTTTGGTAAAGTACTTGTGTAGAAATGGAACAAAGAAAATGTCAAATGCATAATAATTTAATATTTGTTATTATTTTTATTGTTTTGTTTTAGGTATCCTAGCGGGCCACGACAATCGAGTAAGCTGTCTAGGCGTAACAGAGAACGGCATGGCGGTAGGAACCGGATCTTGGGACAGTTTCCTGCGCATTTGGAACTAGACAGCGTTGCCAAAAAATAAATGTAATTATTTGTATCTCACCTGCATCACAACATTTCTTAGTTTTTCAAAAAAATAACTTCCATGTTTCAAGCATTTAAAACCGTGTCGAAGTTCCAAGCATTTTATTTTTTGTATTATAGGATTTTTATCTGTTATTATTCGTTCTTGTTCTTTTCGCTTATGTAGTCACTTTAGTTTTTATATGAGTATGTAGCTTGTGATTTGTTTATTTGTAAGGTACTGTTATTTCTCTATCTGTATTTATTACAAGTATTTTAAAGAAAAAAATTATAAATAAAACAGTATTTTAAGTTTGTTCTTTTTTGTTTTTTCTTTTTTTTTGTGATGTGGGTGAGATTTGACCGAGTCGAGGAGTGTATTAGTTCCAAAATATTTGGTTAGATCAAGTGCAAAACGCGAGACCAATGTTTAGGAAATTGAAAGTTTTTGCATTTTTACATGAGCGAATTTGGAAGTGCGAGTGAGAAGGTTTCCAAAACAAACAGAATTTTTTACACAAAATTCGTCCATATAAAAATGCAGTGATTTTAATTTTTTTTCTCATGGCATATGCTACTAGTCGGTTTACCAAAAAAGCAGTGCCATAACCTGAAACTTTCCGATCATAGCCGTCGACATCAATCAACGTCACAAAGTACCAAATTGATTTCCCGCATGTGACGTCATAACCAAATGCGTTTGTGTAAGAACTGGCAGGTTGTAAAAATCAAACAGTTTTTGAGATACTGCCTCAATATTTAACCTGTTAAAAACAGTGTTCCATTAATTAATTTCACTTCATAAATAAAGAGGGAAAAACACAAAAAAATCTCATCACGTGATCAAATCACTCAATTGTTTCGGTTCCGAATCACCGTTTCGTTTTGTACATATTGAGTTCCTTATTGTATTTGCATTTTTAGGATACAGTCATGTCTTTAAATAAAATAGGTGAAAAAAAAAGAAAAAATTTACGATAATATAATACTAAAACTAGCTTCTGCTTGTCATTGATTGAATGTGAAATAAACAGTGATGTATGTTTACCATCTCTTGACACAAAGAAACTGTTTTATAAAGCCAAAAATTTCACTTATTTGACTTAATTTAATTGCACCGGTGGTCGTCGCGACGCATTCAAATCTCCCGCCGAGGAGTGCGCCACGCCAACTAGTTTTATTAAATTATTTATGACGTGTGAGTGCGAGAGTGGCCGGCGCGAGTCGAGGGCGCCACTCGCGCCTGTGTTCGAAAATTGCGCAATTGCAACCAATTTACAATTAACAAACAAGGGATTCAACAACTCATCCGTTGTAGAAAAGGGCTCATGGATTGGTTGTCGTTGTGTAAGCCGGCTTCTGATTGGCCCGACGTTTCGGTTTTTTTATATGTGTATCAGTGTTTGAGCGAAACGTCGCGCGAATCGCTTCGACGCATGCGCGACTCTTTTTTACATAATAATAATAATAATATATCATATAGTGCGACCCCTTCCTTGCCGCGAATGCCGACTCGGCCGGCGCGAGCGACTGTTTTTATATTTATAAGTCATGTCACAATATAAATATTAAAAAACAAAAATAAAATTTTATTGTCTCGCTATTATTTCAAATTATGGGCACAAAACTGCGCATTGTAGCAATTATCATCGGTTTTTAAGAAAAACGCTGGGTTTAGATTTTTCTCAAGCAACACTTCTTATCCCTCGTCCCGTTTTTATTGTTCTTTTGGAAGCGACGTGGACACGTGGTCCAGCACAAATTCTAATTGCCGCATTTTTCGGTTCGGTTTTGTTCGCATAAGCGTGTAGTCACGGAGAATTTTATACATTCTTGTGGTGGCATGCATTTTTTTTTCAAATTGTAGGTTAGAATGTACTTTTTTATTGTTAATGATTTAAATTAAAAGCGTATGGTGTATGACTACTATAGCAACCTATATGTTATTGTAACGTAATAAATAAATAAATAAACAAACAGTTGGCACAGTTTTATTCCCACCCCCCTCAAACCGGACCGCAGACTAAACGGTACGTACACAGCGAATTGAAAAAGTCCATTAAAAAAATTAATTTATACAAACTTGTGTTTTTTTAAATGAAATAGCATTTTTGGATGTAGCTTCTTAAAACAATGTTTTTACGCTAAATTTTTATTACTCGATTTTGCTTAGTTTTAGAAATAAGACGCTTTTTTTTATGAAAACACGCACTTTTTAAAAATTTGTTACACAAAAACTAAGACATCCAGAAATATTTTTTTTACTACTGCAAAGAAGGTACAAGCTATAATGTGTAACATTTTTGTAGTGTGTTGCATTTGCAAAGATAAAAAATGAAGACGTTAAAAGTTCAATGACTTAAAAAAATTTAATGGGTTGGATTTTCTTGTCGGTCTCGCAAATATAATTTTTTAAAAGTTCGCAAAAACGTCTTAAAATGTATTTTTTTAAATAAATGCGAGTAAAAACCAATTAAAAAAAATATAAAATAGGTTTATTTGATTTCTCTTGTCGCACTTTATTAATGCAAATTGTGTAAAATTTTAAATAAGACAATAAACATCGACGCTACTTTGTTGTAAGTAAAAAAGGCGGCAAATTTGAATAAATCATATCTTGTTTACACACTATATCAATAAACGATTGGCGTAACCTTGTAATGATTCATCATTGATCTATAGGAATTTCTGAAACTTCATACTTACTAATTTCTTCGTTTTTTTAATCCGTAATTCCAAACCCCTGAAACTTATGCAACTACAAATTCACGCGTGCGTTATGTATGCCGACTATTACCAACCTTAACAAATTGCAATAAAGCGCGCAATTTATAAATCGGAAAACTTTGAACATGAATATCTCGAAAAGTATGCGTCGCACATAAAAATAAAGTATGTCAAAAAAGATGCACAATGAAAAGTTCTATCGAATGGTTTAGTCAAATTTGATTTTGACGATGGTCATTTTCGTATCTCGCTTAGGAAAAACATATTTTTAAAATCTACTCTTTTAGCTGAGATGTATGAGGGGTGACTCGATAGGATTATTTTTAGTTTGAAAAAACACCCTTAAAATGTTTTTTACACAAAGCAACTTGTTTTATGTCATATAGTAGGGTTATGAATAAGGAAAAGAATTCCATAATTTGAGATTTTTTGGTCGATTAAAAACGGAGATATTGAATTAATTTATGTCGGAACAATTTTTTTTATTGTCGACTTTTTTACATTTGATTCTCGTAATTTTTTTCAATCTTGTCAATTAATATTGTAGACTTAAAACAACTTCGAAAGTTCTAAAAATTACGTAATTTATGAAACTTCGGCCCGGCCAAAAACTACTAGTAAGTCTTAATTTTGATTCTAAATAACACTATGAAGGTCCCAAAGCTCGAAGGGCAAAGAGTGAAAAAAAAAAGAAATTCGGGGTTAGTTACACTCTATTTCACTAATTCACCTATGTAAATCATTTGTGTTATTAGTACTAATAACAATAATTAATAAAAAAAAAATACTCAATTTTTAATACAAAACTTACCTTTCACTTTTGTATTACTTTTTTTAACTTACCTTTTGTATACATAGGTACATTATTACTATTAACCTTTTCACTATTTTTACTTTTGTAGATATTTGTTTTAAAGTTCGCGCTCTTATACGACCACCATCTATTGGTGTTTATTTTTGTTAGTATTGTACACATGTTAATTTCAATGTTTTCCTTCAATATATTTTACAAAAATTTTTAAAAAATTTATTTTTCGCATTTTTACAATGTTTTTGTACTTTATTAAATCTTTTGAACATCCAAGAGTGTAAATGGACAATTTGGAAGTTTTTAATTTTTTCGATTTTTGTCGAAATTTTGGGCGATTTTTGGTACCCGGAGCGGTCTAATTTATTCAAAAATAAAAAATTGGGTGTTCCATTTAAATTTTTTTAAGTTTTTTTGACTTTTAACAAACTTCTTGATTTATTAATTTTTACAAATGCAAAACACTACAAAATTGCTTTAAAAAAAAACAGCTTTAAATTCTGTACTTTCTTTTTTGTAGAAATAAAAAAAAATGTTCTAGCTGTCTTAGTTTTAGTGTAATAACTTTTTAAAAAGTGCATGTTTTCGTTAAAAAACCGTCTTATTTCTAAAACTAAGCGAAAACATTTTTTTAAAAGATTACATCCAAAAATGCCAAGAAACATACGGTGTTTCATTTGAAAAAACAAAAGTTTGTATCGTAACTTATTTTTGGGTCATTTTGGGTCATAGTTGAAAATAATTTTAGGTGATGCACTAAGTTAGTATCTATCAATGTCCCATATATTTTTTTTTAATTTTACCATGATAGGTCACTAATAGACTTTTTCAACTCGCTGGTAGATTAAAAGACGTCAAAATTTAACGATTTTGACTGTCGAAATATAATTTCGACATTGCTAGTGCCAAAAGTGGTGCAAAAAACAACACTTTATTTCTAAAAAAATTACATTTCATTTACAACTTGCATTTCTAGAGTTTGTGTAACTTTCCGTGTAACAATCGGACTGACTTCATCTTCATTCCCACGTTCACACTCTTCAAATTCATCATTATTCTCCTCTTCTTCTTCTTCTTCAACTTGCTTTATCAAATTTCCCTTTCTACCACTTGTTTTAGCAAGAAACTCCCCAATACTATCACAGAACTCCGCCATATCTTTCCTCAAACTAGCTATAGACTTTGCTAACAATCCACACTCATTCATTGTATCTTCAACAAAGTTTGGATTAGATATAGCTTTCATATCATCCCCACTTTCGTTTTGTTCCTCTTCATCTTTCTTCATTTCTTGAATCAATTCATACAACTCATCTTCTTCATCTACTTCAATTCTTCTTCTTCTGATCGGGAGCAAAATCTTTGTATTTTCTTCTTTTATTTTCAAATTCCAGTCAAGAATCTCTCTATATTCTTGCCCTGGATTGGCTCTGTCCAACTCTTCCACGTAAGGAGGCACTGGGATATCTTCCTTCGTGAGAAATCTATCAACAGTTTTAAGTTTTGTGTGACTACCATTTCGGTCCAACAGATGGTCAAAATCGGTACTGCTTGACATGTCAAGTGCTTCATAATAGCGCAGTTCTTCTTCGGAATCTTCATTTTGTGTATTCACCTCCGATAACTCAAGTTTCTTCGCGAATTCTTCGGGTTTCTCCTCTTTATTGATTTCTTTTGCTACTTGATCAACAGCTTCGACTAGTTTTCTTCCCAAGTTCCCTGCATCGTGATCTTCATGTTTCTTCTTTTTGTCGTCGTCCATCTCATTTGCCATTTTGCGAAGTGTTTCAATCAATTTCCGTCCTAAATTATTTACTTCTTCATTTGTACTATCTTCATTCTTCGTATCATCATTTTCAACGTTCATTTCAGATGTCATTTCTTCTGTAAAACTGAAATTTTCATTTATTTTTTCAGAGCAATCTTCTGTTTCATGTTTTTCCACATTTTCGCAAGAGGAATTTATTTCTTCGTTATTTGGCGATAATTCTTTATCTTTTGTTTCAATTGTTTTTTCTTCATTTTCTACAGAAGAAATTTGAGCCAAATAGGTGCTCTGGATATCTTCGTTGTTGAAGTTCTCCAATTTTGTAGTATTATCTTTGTTTTCTTCTTTTTCTTGACTAGTGTAAGTTGTATTTTTGTTTGTCCCTTGGTTATCATCATTTCTTTTACTTTCTTCACTTTTTGAAATTAAATTTTCATCTTCCTCTGTATCATTCTGAACGGAATCAAGACTTTCGCTTTTATTTTGTTCTTGATTATCTTCAATATTTTCGGCAAGCATCATATTCTTCAAACATTCTCCCATATCTTCCCTCCTAACTTCCTCCGTCAGCCTTTCTTGCAACTTCTCTACATCCAATTCATGATTTTCTGTCTTCACTGTTTCTTCAGTTTCAATTTCTTCAACCAGTTTTCTTTTTCTTACAACTTTTGAATCAAAATCAAAGATTCTTTCCCTATATTCGGAATAATCCTCCGTTGGTTGTCTTTCTTCCATAAAGTTATTGCTTTGGTCTTCTTCATCACTACTTTCTTCACCTTTATCTTCACTTTCGGAATCTGCAACTGAAGTACCCATCCCACTATCCCCATGGGATGCCATTTCGGCCCTTCTTCTATCCCTCATTGCGATCATGGCTAGAAATAAGGGCTAATTCAACGATAAAAAAATCGTCAAAGTTACCATCGACACTTTCAGTTATTTTGCGATGTTCTCTTTCAATCCAACGCTGTCTTTCTGCGTTTTCTTCAGCAATTCCACCACGTCCCCAAGCTTCCGCGCATGCGCGGTCTCGGGGAAACACCGGACGGTCATCCAAATATTGCAAATTTTTCTAAAAATTAACATTTCAACTTAAAACACTACAAAACTCAACTTACACAAGCCAAAATCATTGTTTTACGATACGCTGGTATTTTTCTAATAGCGGGGTTTCCCATAAGATTCAACACACGCAATTCAGGCATTTTGCTCAAAATTTCCACAATGAGAGGGTCATCGAGATGGTTATTTGACATGTCTAAAACTGATAATTCAAGGAGTTGCACCAAATGTTCAATATCTTCAATTTTTTCCAAGTAATTATGCGATAAATTCAAACTATGAAGCGTTTTGATTGTGTCCAAATTCTCGATTTTTTTCACTTGATTGTGGGACAAGTTCAAGTTGTCGAGGATGACACAATTCTCCAAATTTTCAATTTTTTGGATCAGATTGTAGTGGAGGAACAAGCTTCGCAGTTCCTTTTGATTCTCCAATCCGCTGATTTTGCGAATTCCGTTGTTCTCCAACCAAAGACATTTCAAGCCGGTGTATTCCTCCAAATTCTCAATATACGAAAAACCCTTGAAGTGCAAGTAAAGCACTTCGTTCAAATGTGGGGTGCGGTACAGTTTCAACTCCTTGCAGTGGTTCAGGAGGTACTCCTTTGTCATCCTGAAAGAAATCAAGTACTGACCTGGATTCGAAATTGAATCAACCTGGGGCTCTTGAATACGTCTTTCAGTCCATATTCGCATTTTTCTTTCTGATTTTGCGTCACCATCGACATTTTTGCAAATTATTGATCAAACAATTTGATTTTGCCGCCTAGTAACGGGGTGGCTTGACCAATCACAATAGCGAATTTTAACAAATCGCAGATTCAAAGTTTTGAGCAAATTTAAACTGTCATGAGTGTCATTGAGGGTAATAAACCCGTTTTGTGTTAATTTTATTTTTGATCATACAATTTTCATTTCGTGCAGCCAGGTTCACAATCGAAAAATTATTGGAATATTATTAAAATAAAGCATAATATTTTACAAAAGATGGAAAAATAAGCATTTTCAATTGCAAATGACTATTGTTGATAGTTTTTTGACGTTTTCAATGTAATTCTGTCATGAATAACAATTTCAATTAATTATATTGTTGCAATTGTGCGATTCAAGGTCAAATGTATTTCACTTATGCATTGTTAACTTTATTTTTTTCAAGTGTCATCCCGTGTATCGATTTTTTTCATTTTTACAGAAAATGAAGCTTATTAAAAGGGCATTTGACACTAAAAAATGGTGGGGTCACAGTGGCTTTTTAGGGCTGTAATAAATTTTTTTCGTTTTCTCAAAATTTGTTTATAATACAAACTATATTTTTTTCAAGTGTCATCCCGTGTATCATTTTTTTTATTTTTGCAGAAAATAGAGCTTATTAAAAGGACATTTCACTGTGAAAAAATGGTGGGGTTACAATGGCTTTTTAGGGCTGTCATGAATTTTTTTCGTTTTTTCAAAATTTATTTATAATACAAAGTTTTTTTTTTCAAGTGTCATCCCGTGTATCGATTTTTTTCATTTTTGCAGAAAATGAAGCTTATCAAAAGGGCATTTGACACTAAAAAATGGTGGGGTTACAATGGCTTTTTAGGGCTGTAATGAATTTTTTTCGTTTACTCAAAATTTGTTTATAATACAAACTTTATTTTTTTCAAGTGTCAGCCCGTGTATAGATTTTTTTTATTTTTGCAGAAAATAAAGCTTATTAAAAGGGCATTTGACCATGAAAAACTGGTGGGGTTATAATGGCTTTTTAGGGCTGTAATGAATTTTTTTCGTTTACTCAAAATTTATTTATAATACAAAGTTTTTTTTTCAAGTGTCATCCCGTGTATCGATTTTTTTCATTTTTGCAGAAAATAAAGCTTATTAAAAGGGCATTTGACCATGAAAAACTGGTGGGTTTACAATGGCTTTTTAGGGCTGTAATAAAATTTTTTCGTTTTCTCAAAATTTGTTTATAATACAAACTATATTTTTTTCAAGTGTCATTCCGTGTATCATTTTTTTTATTTTTGCAGAAAATAGAGCTTATTAAAAGGACATTTCACTGTGAAAAAATGGTGGGGTTACAATGGCTTTGTAGGGCTGTAATGAATTTTTTTCGTTTTCTCAAAATTTATTTATAATACAAAGTTTTTTTTTCAAGTGTCATCCCGTGTATCGATTTTTTTCATTTTTTGCAGAAAATGAAGCTTATTAAAAGGGCATTTGACCATAAGAAAATGGTGGCGCTGTAATGAATTTTTTTCGTCCACTCAAAATTTTGAGCAAATTTAAACTGTCACAAGTGTCATTGTAATAAAACAGTAATAAACCCGTTTTGTGTTAATTTTATTTTTGATCATCCGATTTGACTTTGGCGCCTTGTTGGACCAATCACAATGGTGGATTTCAACCAATGATAAGTGTCCTGTCATTTTTCAAAATTTAAGTCGAATTCAAACTGTCACAAGTGTCATTGCATTAATAGCCCCGTTTTGTGTTAATTTCAACCGGTGGGGCCCCCTCAAGCGTCACAATGCCGTGCGAAATGATAACCTTGCAACTGGGCCAATGTGGCAACCAAAGTGAGTAACCCAAGTTTTATTTATGTTTTTTGAGGTTATGTTTTTCAGTCGGTTTTGAATTCTGGAAACGTCTTTGTGCCGAGCACGGCATCAGCCCCGAAGGCATCCTCGAGGACTTCGCCACCGAGGGCATCGACCGCAAAGACGTGTTTTTCTACCAAGCCGATGACGAGCATTACATCCCTCGAGCGGTCCTCCTCGACTTGGAGCCAAGAGTCATTAACACGATCCTCAATTCGCCCTATTCCAAACTCTACAATCAGGAAAACGTGTTCTTGTCGAAAAACGGGGGCGGCGCGGGGAACAACTGGGCCTCGGGCTACTCCCAAGGGGAGAAACTAAACGAGGAGATTTTCGATATAATCGATCGGGAGGCCGACGGGAGTGACAGTTTGGAGGGCTTCGTTTTGTGTCATTCCATCGCTGGGGGGACCGGCTCCGGGATGGGGTCCAACATTCTCGAGAAGCTCTCTGATAGGTTCCCCAAAAAGCTGGTCCAAACCTACAGTGTGTTCCCAAATTTGGACGAAATCAGTGACGTGGTGGTCCAACCCTACAACTCGCTTTTGACCCTCAAACGCCTCACGGAATCGGCCGATTCAGTCGTCGTGCTCGACAACACAGCCCTCAACCGGATCGCCGCCGACCGTCTCCGCATCCAAAACCCCACTTTCACCCAAATCAACAGTCTAGTCAGCACCATAATGTCCGTCTCGACCACAACTCTGCGCTACCCTTCGTACATGAATAACGATTTAATGGGGCTGCTAGCCCCCTTAATCCCCACTCCGCGTCTCCATTATCTCATGACGGGGTACACCCCCCTATCAACCGACACAGACGAGGTTAATGTACGCAAAACCACAGTTTTGGATGTTATGAGACGTCTCCTCCAACCCAAAAATATGATGGTTTCGACGTCGCAAGACCGTAATTCCCAACACTGTTTTATCTCAATTTTGAATATTATTCAAGGGGAGGTGGACCCCACACAAGTTCATAAGTCTTTGCAGAGGATCAGGGAGCGGAAATTGGCACAGTTTATACCATGGGGGCCCGCAAGTATCCAAGTGGCGTTGTCACGGAAGTCGCCGTATATTCAGACTGCGCATAGGGTTTCGGGGCTCATGTTGGCCAATCACACGAATATTAGTTCGGTAAGTTGATAGAGAAATGGTAATTTTTATTATTATTGTTATTTTTTATTTTTTTTTGAAGTTGTTTGATCGAGCTTTGGCCCAGTATGACAAGTTGAGGAAAAGGGAGGCGTTTTTGGATCAATTCCGGAAGGAAGAAATGTTTAAGGATAATCTGAACGAGCTGGATTCGAGTCGGGAGGTTGTCCAGGACCTAGTTGATGAGTATACAGCCGCCACCAAGGAGGATTATTGCACGTGGGGGCAAAATTAAGCCATTTTGAAGCTCTCTTCTTTGTATATTAATGTTGTAATTAGGTTTAAGTTAGCATTAAATCTGGTTAAATCGCATTACTTTGTTACTTTTTGTCAACTTTGTCACACTCGTGTAAAACGGTAATTTAACCATCTTTGTCACACAACAGCAATTGTTTTTTTCTGGAGATTGTTGGAAATTTTGGGGGCATAAAAGTAGAAAATGGAAAAAAGTTGGAGATTGAGTGAAGGTAAGAAACAAAAATTCAATCATAATTCTTCATAGAGAAAAAAAGTCAAAAAGTGCCTAAATTAACGTTTTAAAGAAAATATTACTAAGAGTGCGTTATTGGCTTCAATTCAATCTGATAGTTGTTGACATTTTGCAACAATGTGACTCATACTTTAAGAAAATCAAACGAATTTTTTTTAAAGTCGTATAAAAGCATTAATCTTCTATTTTTTGGATTTCACTGAGAAAAAAATTGACAAAATAATCTCTTATCATTAATTTTTCGTAGCTGATTGGAAAAATTAATTTAAATTGTTGAATTAAAACAGTTTTTTTATGGCCAATCGATAAGGTTTTTGCAAAATCTTGAATTTGATTGGTTGGACATTTTTTAAATTTATTACAAGGGCCAATAACAATCATTTCCCATTTAGGTAATTACCACTGTCGTGAGAACAAACCGGTTTTTATTTCTTATTGGCCAAAATCCGACAAAAACCTAGCAACGGTAAGTAACTCCACCCATTTAAAAAATCGTGAATAATTATTGAATTCTGAATTGAATTTGTACAACAAATCAGCGTTTAGTGTGAGTTATCTTACTTTAATTGGATCTAATTTTGCACAATGGGTGGAGCCAACCCCAGAGTCAATATGAATCATGCACTTTCGATTATTAGACCAATAAAAAGTAAAAAATTATTGAATGCATTAAAATTGAGTGTCATTGTGCGATCCTTAGCCAATCAATTACGACTTTTAAAATCAACCAATCAGAACGTCTTAAATTTTTCGACAAGAAAAATTATTAAAATTTTTGTTTTAAAAATCGGCTTTTTTGATTTTATTGTCAATATAAAAAAATATTATTTGAAAGATAAACGTCAATTAATTTTCTTTACTGTCAAATGTCCAAACTGTCAAAATTTGACACTGAGTATTTAGTACATTTATTATGTAGTAAAATTTGTATTTTGCTCAATTTTTGATTCAATAACACCGATTTGAGTCGTTTTTAGCGGTTTTAGCCTTTTTTTGCCAAAACTTTCAAAAATTCATAATCCGACATTGATTCTTTCCATACAATTAGTGCAAAACTTTGCACAAAAATTCAAAAAGGTTCAAAAAAGAATTCAAATTTTCAAACAAAAGATGCTTTTTTTGTTATTTTTTTGCCAGTAGTGGCTCACTTAAAATGAATTACTGCCAACATTAAAAATTTTAACGATATCGGTTAATAAATAATCAAGTTAGAGCGATTTTGTAGTTATAGTATACAGGGTGCGCCAGAACTCGCGAAAATTTTCAAGTAAGGTAAGATACTAGGAACATAAAAAAACTAAAAAAATTTTGACATTTATTTTTCGACATTTGATATTTTTTTATATCTATTTAATGATACTGATGATCTTGTATATGTTTTTTTACAATTATTTAGTAAAGGAACAAAAATTTTGCCAATAAAAGCCACAAATACAGCTTGCTTGTTTCCTCTTTTAATAGCATATAGGCAAAAAAACTTGGAAAACTATTTTTCCAACAGAAATAAATAGAATCAAAGTGCAAACTTTAAACCCTCATAACTTCGAAATTTTCAGAGATAATTTTTTTTTAACATTTTTTCCATGTTCCTGGTATCTTACCTTATATGACATTTTTCACTGGGACGCGAGTTCTGGCGCACCCTGTATACTGCTCCACAAAAGTTAAAATTTTATTCTTCTAAGCATTGTGGAATTCAGCAAAAACAAAAAAGTAAAAAAGATATCTGCCTTTATATCACTTTTAGTTAATTATTAATTTATTTTTTAATAATTTATTAATTTAATTAATTATTGTAATTATTGCACACTTTCTTAACWTTTGTGGAGCAGTTTATTTAATAAAACACTTTGCTTTTTGATGATTTTGTAATTCATAATTATAAAAAAATATTGAGTTAAGACCACTTTATGATTTTCAGCAGCGACCTGTTAGAGAAAGACCAAGCAATACAAAATTTTATAAGATAAAAAGAGAGAGACAGTAACAGAACAATAGAGTACTCTGCGTAGAGTACTCTGGGCAAACAATTATACATAATTGTTTAGAAATATGTAGTTATTAACTTATTAGTGTTTCCCACAATAAAAAAAATATTTTTTACTAGCAGTTCATTGTTATTTGAATAATCTATTATCACTAATTACATAACCAATTATCATAAAACTGAAAATTTACTTTTCTTTCAAGATAATAGCCTTGATCTCGTGTTTTTTCCCTTTTTTTAATCTCAACCAAGGCTTCTGTTGATTTCTTGGTCTATTTTTCTCTGGGGCGCGAGTTTTGGCGCACCTGTATATAGCTAGCCCCAAATTTTATAAATGAGGGATAAAACCAAATTTTCGAAAAAAAATTCAAAAGTACATAATTCGACAGATTGGTTCTTTATTGTTCTAAATTTTGCACTGATTATACAATCAATTTGAACGATATCAGGGCCGTAGTAAACAATTTTCTGATTCAAAATGGTCCTAAAAAAATTCAAATTCTTAAACAAAAGACCATTTTTTGTGTTTTTTTGCGAGTGGTTGCTTACTTAGAATGAATTACAGAAACATTAAAAATTTTAAGAAAATCGGTCAACGATTAAATCAAATCAAATTTTAGTTGGAGTACTAAGCTAGCCCCAAAAATTACAAATTCGCTTACAAAATCGCTTGTTTTTTTTAACTAGGCCGAAAAATAATGTAAATAAACTTGGGAGATTTGCTGTATTTCGTTTGTAATAAAAAATTAATAATTTAAATTTGAAAATTCCCCGTGAAAAAATCGCAGACAAGCGTTTTATCAAAATTAAAATTCATCACAATTTCAAAATTCTAAAATTCTCGTTATTTCCGTCATTGTCAGATTTAAAATCTCCCGCGTAAAGTAGATTTCTTCCCCCCATCCGAGACCCGCACCCGACGGCCATAATCCCAACCCTGGGCGCAAACCATCACGGATATACCATATGTTTTAGGTGACTCAAATGATCCAATGCGGTCCTATTTGCTAGTAACACCGGCCATCTTTTCCCAGAAAACAGTGTTTGTTTGGTAATTTAGCTCAAAATTAACTTTGTAATTAATGTCAGAACCACAGTCAGCCCTTCTACTAAGAAAACAGCTAGCAGGTGAGTCACGAAAACGATTTTTGAGCATTCTTACAACACTGACAAAGTACAAAGAAATACGATGCCATCGACACCAAACCCGATCCGAAAATCACAAAACGATTAATTATAACCCCAAAATTCCAACGCCAACACGATTACGACAACATGTAGCGATCCACCCCCGAAACGTGGGCCCCCGTCGCGGCAAAAACAACCAAAACGACACATTTAATTCTCCTAACCCCTGAAAAAAACAAAACAACCTGACCCGGGGGCCCCTTCGACTCACCCCAAATGTCAAAAATTTTTTTGACATTCGCAACACCCCATGAAAAATTCGAGAAAGTCGCGAGCGATGACCTTAACGTCGTGTTATTTTAATAATGAAGTTTTGGTTCGTTTCCAGAATTGAATAAAAACCCCGTCGAGGGCTTTTCTGCTGGGCTAATCGACGACAATGACATTTATAGATGGGAAGTGCTGATAATCGGCCCCCCGGACACACTTTAGTAAGTATTTTCATTAAAAAAAAAACTTTGAGGTTAGGAACGTGAAATGTGGTTGCAGCGAAGGTGGTTTCTTCAAATGTCACCTCTATTTCCCCAAAGAATATCCATTAAGGCCGCCCAAAATGAAATTCGTGACAGAAATATGGCACCCTAACAGTAAGACATTCAGTGCCCCCTTGAAAAGTATTGATTAATTGAATTTCAGTCGACAAAAATGGCGACGTGTGTATATCAATCCTACATGAGCCAGGGGATGATAAGTTTGGTTATGAAAAAGCCTCAGAAAGGTGGCTGCCAGTTCATACAGTAGAAACTATTTTAATATCCGTTATTTCAATGTTAGCCGACCCGAATGATGAATCACCTGCGAATGTCGATGCTGCGGTAAGAGAAAAAATTTCGTGTGTAATCCACTAATTAGATGAAATTCCAGAAAGAGTGGCGAGAAATGTACGGCGAATTCAAACGAAAAGTTGCACGATGTGTCCGAAAATCCCAAGAGGAATGTTAGTACATTAAACCAATTTCATAAAACGGTTTGATTCTTGATTTAAAAATTCGCATTTTTTATATTACCTGGAATCGAATCCGTTGCTTTTTTCTTAATTTTTTTCACGATCTCAAAGAGAATCGGATTATTCTTTTCAATAAATATCATTCAGTTTTTTGTGCGTTTAATTCAAATTTTCAGCGTGAATGTGGTATTGTAAAACGAAAAAGCGATCGTCAAGATTCAAATGTTGTCTTAATTGTAATACTTAAGACATTTGTCGAAACACTACTTGTAACTGCTATTAGATTATGTAAATTTCAACTGTAACACTGTAGGTATCATAAGTTAAGTAAATTTTATTAATAAATCTATCGTTATTAATAATTGAGAAATTTACCTAAAATCCTGAGTTGGCAAGACTGGCAGTCCCGTCAAATATTGTGGCATCCAAAACGGTAAGCTTTTCCTCATTATAAAAACACAAGATTTCTTTAGAAATAATTTATTTAAAAATCAATTTTTAACTCTCTTCGTTTCTTCATCTTCCTCCCACTCAAACTTCCTCTTCAACCCTTTCGACAAACTCTGCAACCTCAACTCCTTCGACTCCTTCTTCAACTTCAACTTATCCTTACTCAACTTCTTCTTCTTCCTCTTTTCTTCCTCCTTTTCTTCACTTTCACCCTCTTCGACCGTATTCAACTTGACCGTTTTCTGCTTCATCATTTCCACAACATTGGAAATCTTTAAACTGTTACACAATTTATTGAACGCGACTTTTGTATCTTTCGAAAACGTCAAAATCGAACGACAATCCCTGACCGAATCGCCCAAAACTCCCCAATTTTCAAAATCCTGACCCAAAAAATTCCCTTTCAATTGTGCCAAAAGCTCGAACAACGCGGCCAAAAACTTCTCTTTTACTTTCCTCTCCGTGGGATTCGCGTAAAACTCCCGGAAGAAATCGACACAATCCCGGAGGAAATTCCTAGTGTGACCTTCCACCGACTTACTTTCTTCACTATGCATGGTGAAAAATCGATGATTATTGAAGAAAATCTTCAATAGTTCCACGGCTTGACTCCTGCGGAACGGCCGTATCGAATTTGCGAAAACAAAACCGAATAAGTGGGACACCAAACCCAACACTCCCTCCCAATTAGTTTGTACCAAATTTTTGAAAAGTACATAAGGGATTACACAATCCCGGCGCGTGAAAAACGCCTCGAGGCCATCCTTAATCACGGCTTTAATCCCACTTTTCTTCTTTTTCTTCATTATGACCAATTCTGAACAATTTATAACGAAAATGCAACACTCGGAAATTTTTTCAGCCATTTCTTGGATAATAATCACGTTTCGTGTCCCTTTCTCGAGGAGACTTTTCAACAAATCGACCAAAATTTCTTCATTTACGCCCTCACAATCTTCAAATTTCTTCAACGAGGATAATTTCTTCAAACAGGATTTCAACCGGTCTTGGAGGGGTTTCTGGTGATCGTCTCTGATACAAAATTCCAAACATTGAAGCAAAGGTAACATTATTTCCAATGTTAGGATCATTGAAGGATTCGAATTTAGATAAATCTCGATCAAATCCAAAACGCGAATCCGGAAGTGAGTCAACGCTTCTTCGTCTTTCTTCTGTTTCTTTCTTTTACCCAAATTTGGTTTAAACTGTTTAAATGCTTGACTCAAAGCTTCATCTAGTTTTTCCCCTTCTTCATCATCTAAATCATCAAGATCTATACTTTCTGCTTCTGAATCAACATTCGCACCCAATGCCTGATGTAAAGCCATTCGTAACTTATCATTGACTGGTTCTTCTTCCTCTTCATCACTTTCTTCCTCTTCTTCTTCTTCTTCCTCATCTTCGACTTCCTCCTCTTCATCGCTACTACTCTCATCAACTCGCGTCAACGGATTCGAATCATTTTTCGGATCCAAAACGCTCAAAATTTGATGAATCGCACTGTCAGTCATATATTTACACAAGTGGGGAAAAACACAATTTATCACACTACGTAACAAATGCGAATTATGTGACAAAAGATTCAAAAATAGATCAACAACGACTTCGATCCAAACCAAATCATTTTCGTCAACACTCTTCTTTTTCGTTTTATCGTAACAAACGAATAACTCTTCTAACGAATCGGAAGCTAATTTAGTATTATTATTATTAAACAATTGAAGTCCTAGATGAAGAAAAAGGGTATGAAAAACGGAATTTTTCTTCTTTGATGAGTTTTCCAATTTCGTGGCTAGGTCAAGTGTGCGTTGCCACATTTCGCCGTTTTCCTCACTCAAAGGGTGACGAACGAGCGCGACAAGTGTGGCAAATTCTTGAGTAATTTTACTCAAAATTTGCCTCAAATCGTCTAATTTTGATAATTTCAAATCAAGTGACGAGTAGAAGGTTTCTTTGAACGAGTCGGCCAACTCGTGACCGATATTATCGTCCTTCAGGAGCCCCAATTTCATCAAAAATACCAACTGTTCGACTTTCCACTCATTATTATCGTGCATAGAAGGATGATTTAGTAATTTTACCAACAAATGCGAAGCGTAAATTCTATCAACATTCCACCATTTTTCCCTTGTATTGTCATTAACAACTTTATCATTTGTGGCCAAAATTACATCACGATAAATCCCGGCTAATTTTTTAACCCCTTCTGTGTTCAAACTCGCAGTTATATTTTGCACAAGCTTACTTTTGGTGACTTTTTCAAAAATAAAAGTCCCAGGGTAGAACAAAAGTGCCTTCAAAACCTTGATTTTTATCTTTGATTTGACGCCATCTTTTTTCAACGAATTCACGAGTGTTTCAAATAATTTTTGAGTCAGATTTTGGAATTCTTTATCTTTTTGTTTACCAACAGCTGTTTTGTAAGTGTTTATCAATTGTTGGAGGTAATTTCTTGTTAAAAGTTCGGGAATTAGAGAAGGATCATTCAATTCGTTCAAAATTCCGGTGAGAAGTCTCGTCGCTACGAAAAATTTATTTCGATTTTGTCTTATCAACGTGCGATCTAATTCGTTGAAAAAATTCACGATCAAGTCGGTGTGTGATAAAATGTTGATAAACAAGTCAAAGATTGGGTGTTTCAAGGACGATACGCGTGGTATAGTCTAAAAAGAATGTTTTTATGGTTTCATTTTTCATTGTTATTCAATACTCACCGTCAAAGTCAAAGCTAAGTCGTATAAACTTTCACTACAAATCACTTCTTCCGTTCCTAAATTATTTTTCAAAAATTTTGAGTGTAAAGAACCGGGAAAATGATTTTGTATTTGTAAAAGCAAAAAAAGAGTGTCCAAAGAGTGTTCTTGCCACGGTTTCGCTAAATCACTCTTTACAAGTGGAAAAAATAAATTCTCGAATTCTTTTTGCTCAATCTGTAATTAACACGAATTAAATTCAATTACTACTCAAGTCCCAAACTTACTTTTTCAAATAAATCAGTTAAAAATTTACACGAGGCTAGATTCAAGTAAGACCTCTCTTTGCCGGCTTTAAGTAACATTTCCACAATCTTAATTTTCTCCTTTTCGTCACAGTTTTCGTATAAATTTGACCTAAGTATAGCCCCACAGAGTAAAATCTGCCCTGAACAAATATCGGCATTTTCCTGCAATAAAACCAGTTAAAAACTCCCTAAAAGACATAAAATCAACTAACACTTTTACTATTACTGCCCCCTTTATGCAATTCCTTCTCCACGTGTGTGAAAATCTCCTCAATCGTGAAACTTTTGAGGTTAAGTAAGGCAACTAAAGCGGAAAAAAAGCCAGTTTTTGCTTGAATTTTCGACGACCCAAGACCACGTATCAAACGCCCTAATGCGTATTTCAACTCATCGACGCCCTAAAAACAATAAAATTAATTTTAAACGTAAAAACACAACATAACCTCACTTGTTCCCCGTTTTTGTCACTTGTTAAATACCGGAGTAAATCAACGCCGGCTTTGACTCGCACTTTCTCTAGTCCATTGGTCAATTTCGTAAAATTGTCCAAAACGGATGGTTCGCGTTTTCTTTTATTTGTTTTTTGATGATTTTCACCGTTTTCCACAATTTCCACGTGCTCTTCGCCCGCCATGACGCGAATTGAGCCAATCAGAAGCGAGGATTTTGAAGTTTCAGTGCCAATAATGGCGCTAAATTTGAATCAATTTGTAAATTCGTTTATTGAGGTCGCAATGCACTAAAAAACCAATTTTAAAAATTTTGGGTTAACGCCAAATCGCCTCACCTGATGACCCATTTTCTCAGGTAATTTGAAAGGTGCGAGACGAACTGTTTATTTTTTTGTAAATCGCGTGTCGATTATTTTAAACAGGTGTGGCCGTGAATAGTGTTTTTTGTTCGGTAATTTGGGCCACCTTTATTTAAAGATAATAATAATAAAATAGTTATTGTAATTAGGGGATTTCCCGCACCAATTTGGGATAATAAAACTCCAAGTACGTTTCGTAAAACTTGTAAATTTTGTTGCAAGTACATTCTAAAATTAGTTTTAGTGGGAGATGAACGAACTAAGTTTTCGCACTATAGACATCAAGTCTAAAATTGCCGCGGCCGAAGAAATTTTCGGCCAGAACGACAACAGATCGCTTAACAAACACTTGACCGAAAATTTTAATTCAAAAAGTCGTGGTGTTTTGTGAAAGAAATTAAATTAGAGACTTTCATGTGTAAATTCCCGTGATTATTTGTAATTAAAAGGACTACACAATGAAGTGGTAAGTCCAAAATTTTGGCTATTTGTGAAACTCAAAACAATTTTGACTTGGCACCGGTTTTCTAAATCATAAAACTCGAACAAAACATTTCGTTATGAAATTTTTGAATAATTTTTTGAAACGAAAATATTTTTATTTAGATTAATAAGTATTCTTGGAACTTGTAGTATCAGATAATGTAAACTTTAAGCTTCAAAACAGAGTAATTTAACATAAAAATTCATTGCGATCTTTTCCACGTATTATTAGTAATTTTTATATTTTTTTACTTGACAAAATAAATAAAACATTTCACTTTCCAATTTTTGAGTCATTTTATCAACACTTTTAACGACTTTCCATCGAATTAGTTGTTTTTACCCAAAAATTCGCCGAAAACGTATAAAATCCCCAAAAATAAAAAACAATAACAAAATGATTTGTTTTCCCCGAAAGAAAATTTTCAAAATAACGCTTGAATAAATTTTAGACAATTCATTTTCGGTTTTTGGCACAATTTTCAAAATTTTCATTTATCAACCTTTATTTTTGATATTTTTTTTCTCTAGCCACCTAATTAGTTTTACTTGATTTTTTCACACAACAATGCAATTATCAGTAATAAAACGGTTTTGTTGAAAAAAAAATACACAAAATTTGGCACAAAACAAAATAGATGTTTTTTCTTATAATAAGGTGACATTGCAGGACTGATCGATGCATTTCTGGGGTAATTAATATTTTTTTCAAATAAATTAAGTCAAAATAATTGTGTTATACCGCGTCTTTGCAAAGGTCAATTAAAATTCGCCGATAGGACATTCTAAAAATAGAAACAATTTGGATTATTTTTAAATCGTCGAAATACAGTCTCGGTTTATTTTTGATAATAATGGAATCACCGGGGAGTCCAGCTCCTTTGGAATTCACAAAAATAATTAATTAGTAGTGTTTTAACCGAAAAAATCACTGGTGAAAACAATAAAAATGTAATTAACCCAAAAATTCGTTTAGGGAAGTCAAATTCGAACCAATTAAGTTTTTACAATTCCATAAAACTTCTATAAATATTCTTGGCGCACGCTTCTCACTTTAAGATGATTTTTTCTTAATTAGCCGAGTCGGAAGAAAAAACAATACAATTTTGGACACAGTACAACGAAAAGTCCCGAAATAAAATTTTCACCGCAATTACAATTTTCGCAAATAATTTTTGTACTCGTTAGCCCCAATCTCGTCTAAAAGTAGTAAATAGTCCAAAAGTCAGCGCTCGAACAACGACAAAATCTAGGTCGTAAACTATAGGTGTATTTCGACGTTTACATGTTTTTTTTTGAGTGAGAAAAGCTTATTTTAAACTTTATTGTAAGAAAATTTATTAGGCTAGAAAAAAAGTGATTTATCTGAGAATTAACCCGGTTAGAAAAATGCATAGTACGACTCTGTTTTTTTTTTCTTGGCTCTAATACCTGCAATTAGGACACGAGTCTGATTGTTGAAATGATTTTTTTTATATATTGTGTTGTGATGTTTGATTAAGCTGAGCTTATCTGTTTGCCAAATTAAACAAATTTTTGGATAAGCTAAATTTAAAACGTTGTAAATATATTTTGAAGCAGTGTAAGCAGACACCTGGATTGTAACATTTTTAGCGGTCAAGGTTTTGTTTTTTGGAAAAAACAAACCGAGAAAAGTAAAATCCCTAATCCACACTTTTTTAAATGTTTTAAGCAAAAAATACAAATTTATATGAAAATGGATATTTAATGTTTTCAACACAAAGTAAAAAATCTTACAGTAAATTAGAGCAATAATTGTTTTTGTAAATTATTTTGTGTTGAAATAAATAAAAAACGACCAATTAGTTTGGTTTAAAAATATCTTTTGCTCTCTTTGAGCGGTGCTAGAACCGATTTTCTCGATTATTTTCTCACAGTTTATAAAAACTTGGCATTTATTATCCTTAATTCGATGTTTAACGGGTATTTTTCCGCAAAAATTTATTTCTGTAAATCTCAGACTGATTAAATCTTGACAATAAAAAAATTTAGAAATTTTACTGTTTTTAAATAAAATTGACAAACCGATTCGTCTTTTTTATAGACGTATATAACATCTGAATATAATTTTTTATCGTTGATTTGGACTATATCCAAATTTGTTATTTAAAATTAAATTTTAAAAAATATATTATATTTAATTAGTTGTTATCAAAGAGAAGGCTAATTTTTGGGATAAAACCC